GCAAAAAAAAGAAACAAAATCTGTAAATGTCATTTTAATTTTTTACTAGTAAATAGTTTACTTTAAAAAAACATGTGTTATTGCAATGCAATGGATTCACAACATTTTGGTCTCCTGAATCCGGATCCGCAAAAATATGTGGATCAACCAAAAACTGCAAAAAAAAAATCTATTGCTCTCATAACTCAAATCTGAACTGTTGAAAAATGAAAGATTACCAAACGTGTCCTTATTTCTGAATGGTTCATCCAAGTTTTTGCAAAAAAAAGTGAAAAGTAATTCGAAAATTCTTTTCCTGTTAAAAATCGGTAAATCTTAAATAAATGTTCATGGACCTGGATACGGAACCGGATCCATATATTTCCAGTAAGGATACAGGATTCGGATCCGGATCAAAATTAAATGGGTTACCTGAACTCCTACCTGTAGATGTAGAACTACCTGAATTCTTACCTGTAGAAGTAGAACTACCTAAACTCCTACCTGTAGATGTAGAAATGCCGGACCTCCTACTTGTAGATGTAAAACTACCTAAACTCCTACTTGAAGATGTAGAACTATCTGAACTTCTACCTGTAGATGTAGAACTACCCGAACTCCTACCTGTAGATGTGGAACTACCTGAACTCCTCCCTGTAGAACTACCTAAACTCCTAGAATAGTCTATTATTAATTTGAAACAAGTTAAAATCATTTTACTCCTATATTTAGAAACTACATAGAAAACAATTTTTTAAATTAAGGTTTACCCGCAAAGAATAAGGCTTTGAGGGCGACCTACACATTGGATATAATGAAGACTTTTTGTCTTTTGCCTTTTGATGATCTGCTACAGAAAGAAACAATTGTTTCAAGATCCAGGGAACTAAGACGTCAAAAAAGAAGTCTGCATAAATTCCGAATAATCATCCCTGAATCTAAATTCTTTGTTGGTAATCCTGCAGTATGATTTTGTTTAAAGGGACCGGGAATGTATGGTAGTTGAACTGAGAATGAAGTATTGTGGAGAAATGTTTTAGGATTCATTTCAGACATATAAAACGTTAAAATGATGTATAATTATAAGTTTAAACGTAAAGCCGAAATCATCCATTGTGGTGGTTATGTTTTGTGAACCGATATTTTTATATTGTTAAACAATGACAACAAAATTTTTTACAAATTCTACAGTAAACAAAGTTGAACAAGCTCTTATCATCGAAAATAAGTAATCATGTTCAGTTATTAGTTTCTGTAATCTCTTTTTGTTCACGAACATTTTCTGTAAATTTTCTGGAATTTTTATTGAAAAGACGACACTTGAAGAATTTGTAGAAATCTGCGAACAAATTCATAAAGAATTTAAAAAATTCAATATAATTGCTTCTAACATTGATTTATTGACAAATTTCTTTCGATAAATTTGTTCCAAAACAACTAATTAGTTTACTGTTGAATTTTTGATACATTTTTCGTCGTCGTTGTTAAATAATTTTTTAAAAAATTATTCCTAAACGTAACCGCCCAAATGGATGATTTTGAAAGTCGGCTTCCCGCTCAAACTTAGTAATTATACATCATTAAAACGTTTTTTTTTATTTCTCAAATTAATCCTATAAATTTCTCCACTAAAATGCATTCTCAGTTCAACTACCATACATTGCCGGTCACACTAAAAACTGTTTGAGAAAAAAGTCTAAAATCCCACCTGAGGTTATCTTTGTTTTCCGATAGTTGTCTCAGAGGGTTGTGAATTCTCCAGGTTTCATTGGAGCTAGGGCTCTGGGATTCTCTGGAGATGGGTTTACAATCTGCCGAGTGTCCTGAATTAATATATTTCTGTTTAAATTCTTGTTTCAGGTAATTCCCAGAATATTATGGATTCCTTAATGAAGATTTACAAAGTTCTTTATCCTAAAACTTAGCTAAAGCCATGAACTAAATAAGTAGAACAATTATAAAAATTGTTATAAATCTAAGAATATGAAAATATTCACACAAACTCTTTTATCTCAACATTTCTCATTAAATTGTTTCCCTTATCCGGTAAAGAAACTGATTTTTTGCCCCAAACTCTATTCTATTTCTTATATCTTTGCGAACTGATGTTGTAGAAATTTGGTAATTCTAACTATGAGTTCTGTTCAAATAATCTAGTGTAAAGATTAAGAAATTAGTAAATTTAAGATCATGACAAAAGAAACTCAGATTTTTAAGATTTTTCGGCACGTGGTCAAAAAACAAAAATGTCGAATTTAGGATTAGACCATTCTTACATTCTACGTTTCATAGATTTAATTGTTTAATTTTGTCTAACCTTCTGCTGCACTATAACAGTTGATTGATGAATCAGGAGAGCTTGTGTCTCCTGAACTCTGTTTCCATGCCCAGGGGTTAGAGGGGGAAGAGGTGGGGGTGGAGCATCTAGGGCTAGGACTGGAAAAATGATCAGAAAAAGCTGGTGATGGTACTGGTGCCTCATCCATACCGATACTCATGGAGCTGGGGGAAGAGGTCAGAACATTTGAAGGGCTCAGGATCGGCTGTTCAAAGCCTTTAGTTTTGCTTATATTGGGAGATGTTTCATCATCTTCTTCTTCACTCTCCTCCGGTTCAAAGTCTAGCAGATCATGTTCATTAATCCCTAGAGGATCAATGTAATACAGAGGGTCAGCGTTGACATTTTGAGTTAAGGATGGCTTAATGGTAGGCAGGGATACAGGATTAGGTTCTAGTTCTTCTTGTTTTTCATAGTTTTCCGCTGGGGTTGAGGAGTCTTTTGGGATCATAATAGAGTTTACTCCTGGCATATCCAGGTCCTCAACGGAAAATACCAATCTCAGTTCACCAACTTCAGGATCTTTAAGAGGAACTTTAGGTGAATTCTCAGAGTACGCAAGTACTGCTTTACTGTCAGGGATTAACGCATAAGTTTCAGGGTTCAGAACACAAGTTTCAAGGACCGGAACACAAGTTTCAGGTTCCAGGACACAAGTTTCAAGGACCGGAACACAAGTTTCAGGGTCCGGAACACAAGTTTCAGATTCCAGGACACAAGTTTCAAGGACCGGAGCACAAGTTTCAGGGACCGGAACACAAGTTTTAGGGTCCGGAACACAAGTTTCAGATTCCAGGACACAAGTTTCAAGGACCGGAGCACAAGTTTCAGGGACCGGAACACAAGTTTCAGGGTCCGGAACAGAAGTTTCAGATTCCAGGACACAAGTTTCAAGGACCGGAACACAAGTTTCAGGTTCCTGGACACAAGTTTTAAGGACCGGAGCACAAGTTTCAGGGACCGGAACAGAAGTTTCAGTGTCTAGTACACAAACTCCAGGGTCTGAAACACAAGTTTTGAGGTCCAGTGCACAAGTTGCACAGTCAAAAACAGCAGCTTTAGGACCTAGAACACAATGTTCAGGTTTAGCAAAGATTTTCCATCGTTCATGTCAACAATGTCAGCTGCTGGGAGAGAAATTTTCAGTTCCAGTTTCTGTATTACAGGATATTTTACAAGTATGCAACTGCCTTTGTTCATAGTTTTACGGAGCTTAATACAGGGTGTCCCAATAAGCATAGAAATTCAGTGACGAATTCGATATCGTCTTTTTAAATAATTCTTTGATTTAGTAGTGATACCTACTGAGAAAGCTGTAATCTGTAAGAGTTTCGTCTGCTATGTTCACATTTTGTTTATTTATGTTTTGACTCCATACTGTTGTACTTAGTAAAACAAGAAAATTGCAGTATACAAACAGAATAAACTTGTCCGTCTTCACTGTTCATCTTGCGGAGACATTATAGACACATATTTGCAGTCTTTTCATAAAATTAACTCTAGCAGACATAATAATATTATGGTTTTTGAAATTAGGTATTACAATGCTAATTCATAACAAAGACGATATCGAATTCGTCACTGAATTCCCATGTTTTTTGGGACACCCTGTACCAGATTTGGGTTTTTTCTTTGTAGGTTTATTGGAACTTTTGGCATCAGTCTCTGACTTGTGTACTACTAAAGGTTCTAGAGGATTGGGAGAATCTAGTCTAACTGCGTCAGGTTGGATAAATGGTTTGAGTAGCTCAGGGTTGGAATTGATACTGACAACTTCAGAAAGATTGTCATTCAAAGTCAAACTCTCTTAAAGAAAGAAATTTAAAAAGTATGAAAGACCAAAATTAAGTCAAAAATGTCATTGTAAAAACAAAAAGTGTTTAAGGACGAGAACCTAAGAAAATAATTTATTTAAAAATCTGTCAATAAAACATTTGACTATTTAAAAAAAAAAAAATGCGCCTTTAAGAAAATAAGAATGATAATCAACCTGAGGATAATGATTGATGAACCTACCTGAACTCTGAATATTCTCCTGGAATAGATTGAGTTGGAAGGATGGTAGATCTGCTCCTACCAAACCCTCCACCAAGTGAAACTCATCCAAGGTGTCTAAACCTTCATAATCCCCTGAACATCATCATTATCATTCTTATTTTAATAAAACTAAATCATGCAATGGAGTACAGTTGAGGTTCACGTTTTTTAACAACAACCTAACATTTCTTTAAATAATGCTCCATGAACTATATAGATACTATATTTAAAACCCTGCAATATCAATCAAAACTTTACTCTCCTTGCTAATTTAACTAATATTTCAGATTTTACTTCAACATTTATTTATCCAAACTGCAAACTTTGGAATAGGAAGTTGACTTTTAGACTCAAGTTATGACTTTAAATAATCCAATAAACAAGAGACACAGCAATTGTGCAGGGTAAACAGACCCATTTCACTTAATAAGTGATTGAATAACTTACTAGTACAGCTATTTGCTTTGTGACAACATCAAATGTACTTCAGTATTGCTGTAATGTCGTCTTCAATTTCTACAAATCACTGTTTGGAGAACTTTTGTTAACCAACATGAACATTTTTTTTACCGAAATCATCATTACAGAGATATGTTATACTATTCTGAGTAAAGTGGGTTTAATTTTATAGGTAAAACGCCAGGCAAAGCTGGGTTCCCTAACTAGTTTTACATATTTTAGGTAGATATTTACAGCAGTAAAAATATACCATAATTTAACGTGTAGGCAGGTCCCGCCTAACCAGGGTAGGTTGTTTTTATGAGTTAACCCAAACTGAATGAATGAAATATTAAGAATATGATTGAATTATTTGGAGAATTTCCATTAAATTAAGTGGGTAGAAAGACTAAATGAAATACAGGATGCTGTGGATTTTCATATTAGAAATAACAAACAATTTATATAATAGGAAACTTGAGAAGAATGATAATGTAGAATTTACTTGAGAGTACAGAATGGAGGGGAGGGAAGGTTCCTACTCCTAAACTTGTAACTCTTGTGATCATCATCTGCAAATAAATAAACTGAACGAAATAAATTTTATTACAATGTGCTTATATGTTAACTTCTAATAGACCCTTCCTAGAAATATCTAATATATACAATTTCAAATTCATAAGTACAGGGGGGTGTATATGTATATAAGTAATCAAGGGGTAAAAAATCGAAAACTATAGTTGTGCAATTCCAGTTAGGGATATTCTCTCAATGTTACACAGGGGTGTATATTTTCTGAATTCTGTAAAATGATGAATTAAGGAAAAAAAAAACAGTGTGACAAGCAAGCTTTTTCATTATTTTTGATACTTTTTCCAAACAATCAATTATTTTCCCTGCAAAATCATTTTTTAGCTAGGAAAACCCTAAAAAAATGATTTTCCAAAAGGGGGGAATGTTTTTTAGGAGAATATACACCCCTGATGTTAAAGGAGGATGCTCCCCATTAATTCAAGAGAGGGGCTCATGGCCGCATACCCCCCCCCCACACACACAACCAGCCATCTCCCTCTCCTTCAAATTACACACATTGAAAATAAATGATAAATGCATTTTTAAAAAATAAAAGGGTTGTTAATTATATTCTGTCTCTATGTTTTTTTGTTCACCTGGTCTAGAAGATGTTTGAACCTTGATATTATGTCCTGAAAGATGTAATGTACCTCCAGACTTTCTAAAAATACCTTCTTTATATATAATTGAAAGGCGGCAGTGGGCATTGGTAAGGGAATTTTAAAATTTCATCAATTAATGAAGGCGACAGTCAATTCCTAAGAAAAACTGAGTTCTATGAACAATTTATTGTGCGAGACTTTTAGACTGAAGGTTTCTTAAGCTAACCGACACTCCAATTGTTACCTAAGATGTCCGACCTTAAAGCTTAAGGTAAAAGGATTGTAAAAAATAAATTAATGGGTATTTATATTGAATTATCATTAGTTTGTTCAAGCATCTTTATTTCTTTTTTTAAGAGATGTGTTTTTTTTTTTACTTTTTCGAGTTCTTTAATGACACCATTCTACAATATTACATTCTTTATTTTGTTTGGTTGATACCCTACCTGGCCAGCTCAGCTAGACGAATATCTCTAGGTCTAGTTCTCACCCCGTAATCCCTTGAGTAGAGATCATGTATTTGGGGTATCCGGATATCCTCAATCTTCCTCCACTCTTCTGTGATTACAATCCTCGGCAATGGTTTCGCTCCCTTGCGAAATCGATCCTAGAGCAGTCTTTAGTTTTATACAAACCGTTCAAATCTATACGGATTCAGGTTTATGTAAAGTTCTTAAGTTCACTTTTTCTACTTTTATCTGTCATTTAATTAATCACATTTGAATTTTTTAAGCTTAAAATATGAAGAATATCTAAAAACAGAAAAAACAATGATATTATATACTGTTAAATAATCGTATTCTTTTCAAATTGACATTTATACCCAAGAATCAAATATAAAATACAAATGTAAAATATAAATATTGGACTAAACAATAATGAAGTATGCATTACTGGCAAATTAAAAAGTGCGGAAATATCAGTTTAGACTGAAAAAACGTCAAATGTTGACTTAAAATTCTTAGATAACGATTACTTTGAAAGGCCCTTTAAAATTTTAACCATCCTTCCTTTTATTACCTTAATGATCATCCATTTGCTCAGATTCGAGAAATTTTCTGCAATTTCTCGAACCTCAGCATTTGTACTCGCCCGCCGGAGTTTCTCGTTGTACGGCATAGGTCGGTTCCAGGCCTTCTCATCCTTACCCTTTCCTAGATATTACAATACTAGCTAGCTTGGGAACCCAGCTTTGCTCGGAAACTAAGTTTTCCTTCAAACCCCAACCCCCAGAATTTAGAATCAAGCTAAGAGCATATTAACGTGGTTCTAAAAGACAACAATTAACTAAGAATTTATAAACCGACCAAAAAACACAACCGTGGTTCTTGGGTTTTATTGTTCTCTGAATCTTGTATTGGGATACTTTTATGATTTTGTATGTTGCAACAGCCTTTGACCTTCAAAAATTAATGACCTCTGGAGGTCGGAATTTAGAAACACTAATAATGGGTCTAAACCCGTACTTTTACAAGATACACATAGTAAATGCCCTTCTCCAACAAATACTTTTAGATCAGTACCAATCCAGGTATAACCTTCCGTATCCTTAGGTATCTGTCTACAAGATACAACTCAATTAAGAGCTCCAGGTTTCTCAATAAGACTTTCGTCAATATTAAACCGGATACAACTCTATCAGTATTCTTAGGTATTTGTCTTACAAGAAACAACTCAATTTAGAGCTCCAGGTTCCTCAATATTTTCGTCAATATCAAACCGGATACGACTCTATCTGTATTCTTAGGCATCTGTCTTACAAGATACAACTCAATCATGAACTCCAGGTCCCTCAATAATACTTCAGATACAACTCTATCTGTATTCTCAGGTATCTGTCTTACAAGATATAACTCAAAATGAACTCCAGGTCCCTCAATAATACTTAAGTCAATATCAAACCTGATACAACTCTTTCTGTTTTCTTAGGTATCTGTCTTTCAAGATACAACTCATTCATGAACTCCAGGTCACTCAATAATATCAATATTAAACCTGTTAAGACTCTATCTGTATTCTCAGGTATCTGTATACAAGATACAACTCAAATCCGTCTTGTTTGCTACACATGGATATATTACTCAAACCCCGTAATCAAGAAGAGTATTATTCCAACTAATGAATATTTTGAGTTCTTTGATACAGGTAAAGTTTATCAACGTAATTACAAGTTTTACATAGTTAATTAAAAATAAGCATAGTTAGTTTACAGCAAATGTACAACGTAAGACATGTACAATACAGGTATGTTCATGTTTACAAATTAGGGTTTACTTCGATATTTTCTACATACCTACAATACAGTTATACAACTATTTATAAATTTCATAAATATTAAACAAAAAAGGAACCAAATCTTAATATTGTCTTTAAACTTCCATATTTATTGTGAAACAGTAAATCACTGTGAGTAACCACCCACCTAGTTTCCTGCAGTTGTCCGATGGGTTGAACTCTAAGATAGTATGAATCTTCTTCCTGCTAACTGCTAAACAAACAAAAATAACATGTAAATATAAAACGCTAGATTTTGTCAAAATTTCTAAGAATTAATTAAACACAATAATTAATAATAATTTAATTAATTAATACTTTAAATAATTAAAGTAAAAAGTTAATACTGGGAAGAAAGTAAAATACTGATCTGGGTCTTTTCTCCATTTTGGGTGGATCTTTTCAGTCATATGTAATTTTAATTAACTGTTTTTACCTTTCTTCCTCGGTTTCTTCAGTTCACTGATAGTAAGGAAGCTATAGGGAGTAGGGTTAGCGACTATCCTGCTCACTGAAGGCAGAAATATAATTTTAAACACGATGAAAACAAGTAACTTCCATCCCCCCCCCCTCGACGGTAATTGAAATGGCAAATCAAGGAAAAAAGGAAATTTTAGAAGACCATTTATTATATTAAGACTTCAATTTTTACCATTAATTCCATTTTTATTTCTAGAAAATTCATAATTTCAAATAAACAAAACAAAAAGGTTATAAGATCATCTTTTAGAACAATTTAGTCGAGGCAGAATTATACAATCGGGCGTGTTGTGGTATTTTGAAAATGATTTAGATTTTTTTAACAATCGTCAATAAGATACCTAGAAATTATTTTTTTTGCTGAAGTTTTCCAGGAAAGTTTGATTAATTTGCTATCACACTTTTATTAAATACTAGCTGAAAGGGCCCGGCGTTGCCCGTGGAAAAAAATATTTAAAATTTTAAAGAATTTTTTTTTAAATTTTAAAGAAAAAAGGTTTTTTTTAGCCTTTAACACCCCACGGCCACCCAAGTGTTCATAAAAAATTTCAGCCCATTGGTCCAGCCGTTTGGCCGGCTATAGGCAACATATATATGAATGTCTTGTTCTATTATATAGATATTCAACCTGTAGAGGCAGAATTCTGACTGAGACAAGGTTTGTATCCGACCAGAATACCTCGACCAACTTCTCCAATCCCTTTCACGCTCAGGTTCTCAACAAAGTACTGTCGAAATTCTCTAAACAAGAAGTTTTCATAAAGACATTTTGTAAAATAACAAGGAATTTTTAAAAAAGTACCCAAACATTGTTTGGATTCACCTTAAAGAATAATGATCAAATATTTATTTCAAAAGGAAAAACATACGAAACAAAAAAGTTTGAAAATGTAAATTAAAATTTAGATTGATCAATTAATTTTATTAAGTTCAGTTTGAGCAAATATTTAGTGACTCCTCCAGATTTTCTAAATTTTCTTACTTTGTGGTAATCTTTACTATCTTGATCTTAAACTTGAATTTCAGAGTTTCTGTTGCAGCGAGAACTTGCTTATGGTAGGCTTCATCGCAAGCATGCATACACTATAAACAATTACAGGAACTGAATTTTATCCACAAACACTGATTTTCTTATCCCTATATCTTTGCAACATGATGTCGTGACCTTTGACATTTCAATCTATCAATTCTGTTAAATCAAATAATCTAAGTTTGAAATAGCAAATTTTTACACCATCAGGTTGCAAGAATGTAGATACTAGAGTTTGAGGCAAAGACTGAATTCCTTTAAAACTATAAGCTGGAATGAGTTTAATCTGGAAGTTTCAACTTCCCTGATATAAATCAACAAACTTATCTAAGATTTCTAAAACTAAGCTGTCAAGAGGTTACTGAGTTATGATCTGACATACAAACAAACAAACAAAGACTACTACTTTAACTTCATAGGTTTATGTGAATAGATTTATTAACAAGTTTCGTATAATACAACATATTTAAACAGTTTAAACTAAGCAAAAATTAACTTTTTTTTGGTAAAACTATCTTATCATGCACAGTGTCCCAAAAATGCTCTTTTAGGTTCGATTTCTAGGGATGGTGGAGTTGGCACATTTGATGTAGGGGGGGGGGGGGGGCCCTGCCTTCATTTTTGGTTCAAATCTTCCAATTTTTTGGGTGCACGCCTAATTAGTGATCGAAATTCCTAAAATAAAATCAAATTGAATTTTAATGTATGAAAATATTTAAATATGGCTTTAGGCATGTCAAACAAACATTAATAACCCCCAAAGAATCGAGTAGCAGCAACAAATCCAATGTTTGACTTTCTAATGACCTCTTACGACCTGTAATGACCTCCAAATTGAAAATGTTCTAAACAAGGATTTATGTTTATCAATCAAAAGCTAGGAACCCAGACAATATACTGGATTTGTTGCTGCTACTGTATTCCTGGGGTTCCTAACTTTCGTTTGATATGCATATAGCTATAGTTAAAACATTTTCATTTTTGGAGGTCATTTAGGTCATTAGAGATCGTAAGAGGTCATTAGAAGGTCATACACTGTATTTGTTGCTGCTACTGTATTCCTGGGGTCCCTAGCTTTCCTTTGATATGCATAAAGCCATAGTTAAAACATTTTCATTTTTGGAGGTCATTTAGGTCATAAGAGGTCGTAAGAGGTCATTAGAAGGCCAAACACTGGATTTGTTGCTGCTACTGTATTCCTGGGGTTCCTAGCTTTCGTTTGATATGCATAAAGTCATAGTTTAAAATATTTTCTATTTGTGGAGGTCATTAGAGGTCATTAAAATTCAATTTGATTTGATTTTAGGAATTTCGATCACTAATTAGGTGTGCACCCAAAAAATTTGAAGATTTGAACCAAAAATGGAGGCAGGGCCCCCCCCCCTTACATCAAATGTGCCAACTCCACCATCCCCTTTTAGATATTTTCAAAATTCCCGATCGATGAGCATCAATTAAAAGGTTGTAACACTAAAATAAAAGGAAGTTATAGCAGTTTGAAGTTTGAACACTTAGACTTTTGAAAAGTGATGCCAAGAAAGAAACAGAGGTAAAAAGAGCTTTTTTTGGAGTTCACATCTAAGTTTTTAAATGCTAGAATTACAGATATAAAATAAACAAAAAGGATTGAAATATTGATAAAAAATCTTTCCTTTTATTTTTATCAGAAAGGTCGTTCATTGCTTGCAATGCTTTTCCCAATTCTAGATCTTATATCCAGTATCAATCTTTTGCATATATTAACATTAACTGTAACAATTCTTCTCTTCACTGCAACTTTTAATTATTTTAATAATTTAATAAGTTTTAGAAAATAATCGTAGGATTTAAAATTTTTAACAATAAAATTGTGCAAAATTTGTTCGAAAAACAATTTTACGAACTCAACCAAGCCAAACTCACAAAATTCAAACTACCATAAGTTACGATATGTACAAAAACCTAAAAGAGAATTTTTGGGACAATGGTGCGTTAAAACTTCATTTTTATTATTTTAAAGAAACTTTTACAGTTCTATTATCAATTCAATTAAAATTATTATGTTTACCTTAATCTTGAGATCATCACTTATAAGATCTCCTAGTTCTTGCAGGGCCTGATATGTTTCGAACATAAAAAATGTTATTTAATTGTGAATCCAAAACAGTTATCATTATTTTCTTTAAGTATTTGGGAGAACAAATCTGCAAACATTCTATTAAAATAACCATTTTTTCTTTAATGCAATTTAGTTGCCAAGAAAAAAAGGAAGTTTTTGGGATGACTTAAAAAAAACTTATTTAAAGAATAACTTTTATTTGTTGAGGTCAACTTAAAGCTTGCGGATGAAGATATCGGGATGCTATAATATTCTCCCAATCAGGGGCGTGCACAGAAATTGGTCAACAGGGGCATACATTTTTTATCAGTCCAAGGGCTACTAGGGCCCTGAAAACCCCTTGCAACCCTATTTCATCCAGGCTAAGCCATAATTTCCCCGCCCCCCCCCCTGTGTACGCCTCTGCTCTCAATACTTTCAGTTCTTGACCAAGAAATTATGTGAAAATAAAAGCTTTAATTTAAAAATGGAATCAGTCTTTAAAAACTCGTTTATGAGACGGCCAGCGGTTCGACTTATATAAAACAAATAATTTGTTGCCCGTGTTCCGGTGGACGAAATTATTTTATTGGCCATGTGCAGCCATTTATAAAGCTATGCGCTAATTTGCTTCAGTTAACTCTGGATTTCGACTGACTTGACTGCACTGATGTGATTGACTCTGACTGTACGATCGATGTCAGTTCTCAAAAAACGAACTCATAAAACTAATTTAATGTCGACTTCCCTCATTAAAAAAAAATTTACAATTATTTTACCATTAATTTAGGGTAAGTTAGGTTGCGCCGCAGGCTACGAAGGGGGCCGTGCGCTACGGCTAGAACAGGCTATGAGGCCGAGCGCTGCGGCCATGGCTGTGAAAATCAGTAGAATATAGTCTTAATTTGAGAGAAGACGACATTAAATTAGTTTTATGATTCTGTTTTTTTGAGGCATTTCCGTGTTGAGGCGTTTCCTGAACCAAATTCAGCAGGAATAACCCCTAAAAATTTCAATTATCTGTACAGAAAAATTCGGCAATTTAAGATTGTATTGATATTCCGTGCAAACAAACCTAACTTCTGTAGGAATTTTTTTCCCGATGACCTGGGGGGGGGGGTTTAACAAAAGCATGTTTTTGTCACTTTTATGACCTAAAATTTCAGCTTGCAAACAAAACCTAACATATTATTTTGCTGCTCCGCGCAAATATCGAATGTCTGAGAAAAAAAAAAAATATTTTGAAAGAAATATTTTAAACTCAAATTTTTTAATCCCTAATCCTATCAAACTTAGGCTTTTCGGTCATAATTTAGAATATCACAGAGCTGTGACAACAGGTTGTCCAGATAGGGATTATAATTTTGAGTTTGTGGTAAAATATGATTTCCTTCAAGCTCCTCATATGAGAGATATATTATCAACAAATAATGTTCTAAACCAAGCAAAGCCTTAATGTGAAAGATTTATGGTTCTTTAATTAATAAAAATATACGGACCTAATCAATACTTCTGTCAAAATCTAGTTGTTTTCAAGGGGAGGGGGGGGGGCACAATATCTTCTAGTGAGAACAAAAAAAAGTTTAAGCGCGCTGACGCTCACAAAAGGTGCCCTTTCTCCTACACTAAAGCTCTTGTACGCCCCTAGAACCAACCAGGAATTATTAAAAAAGCACATCATAGTTGACAAGCTTTAAACATTTCCGTTATTTTTTAGAAATGCATATAAGTTGTAGACAAACTTATGAATTTATATTTGGTTTTAATTACCAAATACAAAAGAAGCAATCTCGGTTTGCTTGTTCATGACTCATTAACCTCTTGACAGATGTGCCTCAAATTTTGATTTGGGTAGAACCACGGGAATGTTTTTAGTATGGGTTTATTAATTCTAAATGGAGTCAATGAGTAGGTCAACTTTGATAGGGAACTTGTTTTCCCAGGCTAGGGAGGGAACCCCCGGACGCCATGAGTCTCTGCTTTGCAGACATCGAGCCTCCCAGATTCACTAGGCAGACCGAGCCTCCACTATGCAGACAAAGCCTACGCTATACAGACCGTGCCTCCGCTATGCCGTAAACGAGCCTCCACCAGACAGCACAGCTTTTTTTATGAGTGATGAAAACTTTTAACAATTTTTTTTGACGTAGTGGCATAAGAATTTTACTAAAGGTTAGAGTTTTTCATTGATTGTCATGAATAGAAACATATATGGACTCATAAATTGGTTTATAAGATTTATATTAAAACTTTAAACATTTCTTACGCAGAAAGGAAGATATTTGGAGAAATATTTCTGGAGTAAACTTGGTTTGTTTTGTTGTAATCTTTGATTTAAACAATACCTTTTTTTGAAGAATGTTGAAGATTTAAATAATAAATACAAATTTTTTAGATTTAATTTGAACTTCAAAAAAGGTATCGCTAAAATCAAAGATTAAAAAAGATGAAATGAAATTCAATTAAATTTTTTTTCTAAATATTTTCCTTTTCGTGTAAAATATGTTTAAGTTTTAGATACCACTTTATTAGTCATAATTAGGCACTATTTATGATAATTAATAAATGCTTAATAAAGCCTCTCATGCAACTATGTCTAAAAATTTCAAAAAAAATCCTTCATTTAAAATTATAACACAAGTTTAAAAAAAACCTCCTGTGTTACACAGGCACATTTTGATGTGTTGTGCATGCTCATTTCTGCAATGCAGAGGCTTGGTCTGACTAGCAACTCTGGGAGGCTCGTGTCTGCTTAGCGGAGGCTCATGGCGTCCGGGGGTTCCCTACCTCCCCAGGCTGGGTTCCCGAGCTAGTATATCAATCTATATAAGGTAGTAATCTGTTTGTTTGAATGACCGATCATAACTCATGAACTAAGGACCGATATGCCTCAAATTTTAATTGGGAAGCTCGGTAAAACCACGGGAATGTTCCTGGTTTTATCAATTTTAAGCCGAGTGTGTTGATCTTTTTGACAAAATTTTTTAAGCCAGGCAAAGCTGGGTTCCCATGTCAGTATTCTAATAAACGATAATAAACAGAACCGACAGTTCCTGTCCATCTTCAAATAAATACTTTTACCGTTTTGTTGGTGGATTTCTATATATTATAAAAAGCAATTTCTCCACATCTTCAGCTAAACCTCAATCCTCATTGATACTACAAAGGCGGGAAGCGTCCTGTAAGTCTAGTTTTTGTAAATACGCATTAACAGGATTAGCTTCCCTTAATAATCTGTTTTGCTATTTATCAGTCTTGTCTTTCACACATGTTCATGTTCGAGACACCATAAACATTTTTAGGCCTGCTCAGTTCGGATACCTAAATTTAAATTTTTGAATTAATACAAACAACCCAAACAACTAACAATTGGACAAAATAAAACGTATATTTAGATGTTTACATGATAAAGAAAATATTCAGCCACAAATATATTTAAAATTTACTAAAATAAAAACGGTATTAAGCAGGTTTAATTAACTTACACTAAATGATCTGATGGCAAAACTCTAAAATTAAACCCTAGAAAAAATGTTTTAAAAAACCGCAGTGGCGCAACTAGGGGGGGGGGGGGCTAGTTGCGCCACTGAAAAAAAGGTTTGTGTTTATAATTAAGATGGGGAAGTGGATACGAACATGAAACATATCACGTCATCTCATCCATCATGATGCTTCAACAAAATCTTTTATTTATTGCAGATGTCATTTAACACATTTTAACTACTATCATTTAGAAGTTTGTACATGAACAATATCTTTTATCAGTCTTAAGAACGGAGACCATGCGTAGGCGTAAGACTAATATAAATAAATATAATAAAGGGGAACAACATATAAACAATTACAAACTTCAATAATTTTTACTGGATTCGATACTTATTAAAATACAAAATAACCCCCTCTTCCCCGACCGAACAATCCATATTTTGCTTTTGTAAAAATATTTTGTTTTTCGAACAGCAACAATTCTACGATAATTCTTTTTCGGAAAATACCAACCAATTTACTTAAAATGGCTGAAAGCGTAAGAAATAATTTTTTAAAACTGTTAGTAATATTAGTGAATTCAGGAATCGAGCTTGTTTGCATCCAAAAATGAAAAAAGTGAAAAGAATTCCGCAAAAATGAGTCTTCTATGTTTCTCAAAATTTCCTATTTATCCAATATGAAATTTTTTCTTTTATAAACACCCTTATATAAATGCTTTTCTCAATACGTCTCTAAGTAGAGATTCTATGTTTTAAAAATTGACATGTTTTGAGTTCAATGTAAGAACTACCGAAGATTTTAAATAAACTAATAGGTCTTTTCAGTACGAGCATAACGGATAAGCCTCCCGATTTCGTGGTTAACGGAGACAAACTTCATCGCAACAACCAGAGGAACCATGATCTCACAAGATACGATGATCCGAGTTTTCCACTATCCTATTTTAGATATTTCCAAAATTTTAACAAGGAACCGTTAATGTTCCTTGCTATTAAATATGAAAACTAGCTCCCCAGCATGTTTGTGTTAAAACATGCACAAGTTATCTGTGGCATTTTATAACAAGAGATAACACAAAATATTGTTCATATCTCTAAATCATTATGCCGATGTCTTAAACTTAGATTGTTTTTAACCTCATTTCAAACGAGGAACGGTCAATGTTCCACGTTATGAAGCTAACAATAATGTTCTTTCCCGTGTATGTTTATGTGAAAGCATGCACACTAATTATAGCATTTTTCAATAAGAGATAACACACACTGTGTTTGTAGTCTCCCCCAGTCATATTTCACAAAAGTATGCTATCCTTTAATATATAATAAAGTTTTTTCTCTTGAACTGTTGCTTTGTCAATACTTAAATATAAATTTACTAGAACCCCAAACATGAAAAAACTTTTAAAAAAATGTATCTGTAAAATTCTAGATTTTAACCGTATCAATTTATAATTGTATGTATACGATAACATCGCAAAAAAGTTTTGTGTTAAATCCATATTAACAATCTTGTAAACTATAGTAACCTCGATACGTAAATAAATATCTAGATCTTCACCGGTTAATGGTATATGCATTATACAAAATACATTATTACAGGGAAACCTAATAAGGATGAGACCTTGATGAAACGAGATAAATATTATGATCTAAATGTTTCTTACGGAAATATTGGCTTTTACTAGAATACAAAATCATTTGGAAAAGAAGTAATCAAGTTGAACGCTACAGGCAATTTTGATTATTGGAAATAAATACAAGCTAACTCTGTACAGACTTTTCTGAGACTTGTGTTTTCTGGGTAACCCTGTATCTTTTAACTATCTGCGTTTCGATAATTTAAATGTACTAGGCTTTTAGGGCGCTTCGCGCCCATCTTACATTTGAACTTTAAATTGTGGCTTTATATCTGAAGAGTGAGGATCTTCTCTTTGTATAGTATAAAACAAAAATGAAAAAAAATTCCGAATTTCTTGATATTTTTTCGAATTTTACAAAAATAAAAAACTTTAAAAACACAAATTTTTAAAATATTAATAATTCATAAACCGAACCCTGGGGTTACGTGAGGTCACACACAAAATTTGGACCTGATCGGTTCAGCCGTTTTGTCGTTTATTAGATACAAACAGACTGACAAGGTAAATTTTTAAATATAAATGTAGAATTTTCGAAGAGTAGTCACATGTGTAATGTGTATTGACAGTGGATACTGGATATTATCTACATGGTCCACTCATGTGCGATAAATAATGGAAGATCATTCTTAGAGATCGATTTCATCCGATTCGTCGGGGTTTCCCGCGAATGATTTGTTTGGCCTCACGCGGCGCTTTGGAAGGGAACGCGGCAAAATCTTGGACGCGGCAACGAGCTTCTTCTTCCTGAAAACAAAGTTTATAAACTTAATTGATGTGAACCATTAATAGTGTGATAATTGTATCTTAGTTTAAAAAACTCACTTTTCCCAGTCGTCGTCCTGGTCTGAATCCTCGTCGAAATCAATATTAGACAAATTCTGCTTAATTCGTTTCCTGAATCAAAAATGTAATAAAAAATGAATAATATTATCATTATTTATACTATTTAAATGTGTAGTCTAAATATATTTTGAGAAAAAAGCTATCGTTTTAGTAGAAAAATATGAACATCAATCCATTATAATAAAATCATTGTTAGAAAACGGCGCAACCAAAAATAACCCCCAAACTAAAAAGATCAAGTCCAAATAAAGATTATCGTTCTAAAAATGCACAAATAAAATTTTTGTGGGAAGACATTCAGCGTTCATCCAATTAACTCCCCCCCACCCACCCCCCTCCCTCACTACCCTCAAAAATGCTAGAAGTAATTCTATAAATATATAAACTTGATGCAAGAAGCTGACCTTGCATAAGGCTGGGTAGGAATAAGAACCTCTTCATCTGAGCTCAGATCAGAATCTAAAATATCTTAACAAAATTAGTATAAAGTTGAATTTTGAATTTATCATGAATAAAGCACAGAAACTATCAACTAGACTACGCGATTGAATCAGTGGTTTATTTTTTGAAAATAACCAAGTGGGGGGGGGGGGGGTTCAATGATTAGGGGGAAAAAGGGAAATTTTTGCCCTAGACGTAAAGATATCTAACATCTGGGGGAAAACAGTTCAAGAAAATTTATATTACTGATCGAAACTGAATTATTAAGTTAAGTAGAAGAAGAATTGTCACCTGTAGGTCCCTTCTTCCTAATCTTCCGTACTGTTCCAGCCGTTCTACCAGATTTCTTCTTTCGCAACTCAGAATCTTCGTTTACCGGAACCTGATGTGGAGATTTCCTGCCTGTCCTAGGGTTAGAGGATTTCTTTCCTGGTTTAGGTTTAGGTTTTGGTTCAGGTTTTAGTTTATCTGGTTTGGAGGGAACAGGATTAGAGTCAGGAGCACGGTTGGCGGCCCCGGAGTTGAGATTACTGGATTGCTGAAACAAATTTTATATCAGGATTTGTTTAAGGCCGACCTTTTGTATCTCAAAGATAAAGCTTTTAAAGATTTGGGAAGTGATGACTGATGGGCAACAAATTGGTTTACGTTATAAAATTTTTCAGACTTTCAAAGACACCACAAAAACTTTAAAATTTCAAAACTGTGTTCTGTAAAAATTAGATTTGATTAAAATTGCCACCTTTTAGCAAATAAAAAAACGATATTTTTTTTGGCCATAATCTATGAAATTTTCGTGAAATCTAAATCATTTCATTCGAGCTTACCAACGGTTGAACCCCCTTAGAGAACATAACTTTAGGGGGTTGGTTTTGTTTGGGATTGAAGAGGTATTGGAAGAGTTCTTGGTTAAACTCCTCGTCATCCTCCTCTATTGCCATCTTTAGCTCACCATGGATTATTGCCCGGTGGCATATCATGGAGGTTCGGCAGGCTAAAAATAAGTGAAATCAATTCATAGGCATAATTGCATAATTTCAAGATATTCAAGATATTCTAGAGAGTGTTTAACAGGACTCAGGAGTTTGTATTACGTGCATTTTCCCCCCCCCCCTGTGTTTACTTTAATTTGCAAGCTTTTTACTTCAATTTGCAAGCTTTTTTCTTTCTAATTGATTCTTTTTCTGACAAACCTGTCTTTTTTACAGTATGAAATGACAATTTATCAACAAGCAAGGCACTAAATTAAAAAAAAAATCCACTAGGAACTCTAGGACGTCAAGTTCAGGCTTGGAAACCTAGCTCTATCGGAACAGTTTCTTGCTAAAGCTTTTTAAAAAGATACAGATAATATTATACCTTCTGCAGTCTCAGCAGTAACTCTCTTGTTGCAGTCACCACACTTCACCTCTGAGCTTATACAGACAGGTACAGAGTCCTGGACAGTTTAGAGTATACAGACAGGTACAGTTTAGAGTTTACAGTCAGGTACAGAGTCCTCTACAGTTTAGAGTTTACAGACAGGAACAGAGTCCTCTACAGTTTAGAGTTAACAGACAGGTACAGAGTCCTGGACAGTTTAGAGTATACAGACAGGTACAGAGTACTCTACAGTTTAGAGTTAACAGACAGGTACAGAGTCCTGGACAGTTTAGAGTATACAGACAGGTACAGAGTACTCTACAGTTTAGAGTTTACAGATAGGTACAGAGTCCTGGACAGTTTAGAGTATACAGACAGGTACAGTTTAGAGTTTACAGTCAGGTACAGAGTCCTCTACAGTTTAGAGTTTACTTACAGACAGGTACAGAGTCCTCTATAGTTTAGAGTTTACAGATAGGTACAGAGTCCTCTACATTTAGAGTTTACAGATAGGTACAGAGTCTTCTACAGTTTAGAGTTAACAGACAGGTACAGAGTCCTGTACAGTTTTAATGTATATAGACGTACAGGTACAGAGTCCTGTACAGTTTAGAGTATACAGACGGGTACTGAGTCCTGTACAGTTTAGAGTATACAGAAGGCTCAGATTCAGGTGACTGTACAGTGTACAGATCAGAAATCCTTATGCAATTTGAATTTTTTTTAGAATCTTTAATCTGACAAACTGAAAGACTATATTATAGATCTTTCAGAACATTGGTGGTATTAACCCTGTAATTTGTGAAGGAACAAGAAGAATTGTTGGGACTTGTAGTTAACTGTAAACAATTAGTGAATTTCTTAAGCAATTAATTATTATCATGAGGTGTAAATTTTCTCTTAAAGTCATTCCCTCCACCTTTTAAAAATCATTTTCCCCCCAAAAGTTAATTATGCTAAATTTAGGGTTTTATAAGCTGTATTGGGGAAAATAAATTATTTTTAGGGGGGGGGAGGGGAATTGAGTTTACAGGTAAAAAGTATCAAAATTTGCCTTTAGATGTCCATGATGTCTGACTATGAGGGGGGGGGGGGGTGAAAAATATACACCTCAGTGATTTTCTACTAGGTCGCAGACAGTGTTCAAATCATTTTCCTCTTATTAAACATTTTTTTCCGAATTTCTTAGATTTTTTACCTTCCAGTAGTCTAGGTAGTGATAGAACAGATGAAGCTTCAGAGTGTTAATATCCTTGTTCCGATCTAAAATTAGAAAAATCATAAGAAAAACACAGGATCGGAAAGGGGTAAATATGTTCTTGAAAAATCACCCCCACCTAGCAGATTATTATTCCAAACCTGAACGTCTTCTCTACTGAGAAAAATATGTTATTCATTTGAAAAGTATGAATTTATTATGCAAGTTTAAAAATATTCATGTTTTCATTAAAAGAAAAAAGCCAACCTAGATCTTTACAAGTAGGAAGATTCTGTTTAGGGCAGGCTAGAGGATTATTGGATCGTGACAACGGAACACTGTTGGAGACCTAGAATATATACAACATTTTATAGTTTAAAGGGAAGTCGTTATAATTTCAAGTGACCCACTGATAAAATGGCATACCCAAATCCTGCATTTTTATCATAAAAACTGAATATTTTTATTTTCGTAAGGTTATTCAATTTAACAAAAGTTGTCACGTATATTAATCACAATCTTTCATGTGTACGAAAAACCCTTTTCTTTAACAAATATAATGAGCTATGTGACATAGCAATTTGTACAGTTAATGAGGTTTGAGAAATGGAAGATTGGTAAAGATTGACAATCACTTGTAAAATATAGACGTGACAAATGGAGGATTGGTAAAGATTGACAATCACTTGTAAAATATAGACGTGACATCCCTGGACAAATTCCTGACTACGCCCCTACCACCCCCTCCTAAAAACCAGTTTCCCCGTATTATTACCTGGAGCTTTACTTTCCAATCAAAGGATTCCCTGATGAGAAAATAATCCAAATAAATAAATTAATGAGTCCAGAGATGGAATTTAAAGAATTTGAGCGGCGGTTTAAATCCGCCAAAACCCGGTTTAAATTAAGCGCCGGCTTAAATCTTGAAACATTTGATACAATTTTAAGTGGAACCAACCATATTTAAACCGCGGCTTAAATTTAAACCGCCGCTCAAATTCTTTAAATTCGGCCACAGAATATATAAATAGAAAGAACTAGTTAATCACTTACGAGATGGGATTTAACGAATGATTGACAGGTAGTTCAAATAGGCACGACTTATCTACCAGTGGTTTAAGTTAAAATAGCGCAGGATAAGCAGTTTAACTAACCACGTCGAGCTATATTACCTTACACTAACTCATAAATTTGTTATCTAGGATTGAACGGAAAAAATAAATACTTCAAAATTGATGAATGTTAAGTTTTGAATATATTCCTGACATGACAAGGAGAATCATCATGGGTAGTTTCTGTTCCATCAATAATAAATTTCCTGAGGAACACATTCATTCATTTATTCAATAGTTCATAGATTTACTCGTTTTCTTCATAATACAGATTTCACGTTTACTTAAACTAACCCTGGGACTGGGACAATAGGAAATTTTATTAAAAAATCGTTTATTTAAACTTTATGAGCTTTTTTATTTTTTTTTAATGAGAAATCGCAAACATTTAAATCTTAAATTCAGAACTTAAAAACACAGAAGTTTGCACGCCACTTCGTAAAACGTGGGTGATGTTTCAAAACAAAATATACATCCCCCTGGAGTACTAGAATGTTAGGTCCTGAATGAGTGTGCCTGATATCTGGATTGAAGGTTTTCAGCAGTTCAAGAACATCCTTCATGTCTACTTCAGTATCCTGCTGCATTGCTAAATAAAACAGAAAACTTAAATTATTAACTTTCATTTCACTATTCTGTGTCAAAAGCAGAGATGAGATTTTAAAAGCTTAAACCCGAGTGAAACCCAGAAACAGAAATATTTAGCGGACCTTTATGTTTCAGACAATTAGGAATACCATCCTAAAGTTTAAAAAATGTTTTACTTACCATCAATTATCTTCCCGTGAAACGTTGCAAAATGATAGAGAAAACTGGATCGAGCTGGAGCTAACAAAACAAGAAAATTAAACAATAAAACTCCAATTAAAAATAAACATGATTTGCTTTATTCTTTTCAAAAAATTAAAATCTTAAACAAAAAATAATTAAGGATTATCAAAATTTCGAATTTAAGGAAAAGTAATGTTTTTAAATGAAGTTAAAAAAAACCCGATAAATAACATTATTAGGCACAGTGGAAAAAATAAAATACGTAAATGTAAAAAACGCGTGTGCAGTATACACAGTAGAGAAGAATGTCAATATATCAATGTAAATAATATTGTACATGATAAAAAAGAAATAAATCTTGAACCTGGATCATTTACTACGCGACTTCTGAACTTTTGGTCACACAGTTTGCACTATCGACACAAATATCTCAAATTATAGAAAAATATCAATCCAATCTTTTTTATTAAAAACCCATAATGATAAGTTACTTTTGGATTTTATTATAAATGTCCGAATGCTTAAAAAATATAAAATTGTAAAGAATAATAAAGTTTTTGATTAACAAGAAACCAAAACAAAAGCGTTAGCCCATGCTTATAAAGAAGAAGAGATTTGCGCTAAATAATAATCTTCATATTAATTTAGTGATAACCAGAAACAATGGAATTATAAGACGACATTACAGCAATACTTTAGTGTATTATATGTTGTATCTAAGCAAATAGTTTACTAGACTCTTATTAAATCACAAAAATAGTAAAATGGGTATATTTACACTATTGCTGCGTCTTATGTTCAATGCACTTTCTAAAAATCGTTTTTTTATTTCAGAGTTTTCTGGTTATCACTGTAGTCATATTTGATTTTTGTTAGTACAATGTATGATTGTTGGATGCTATTGCAGTCGTACATTCCACTTTAAGATCTATCAATCATTATCTTTATTATAATTTTATTTTTTGCTAATTTTTTTTCGTCATAAGCTTTTTTTTTCTTCTTCAAAACTAGATTTTTCCGAATTCGAAATTTTATTTTTAATTCCACGGGCAACACCGGGCACTTGAGCTAGTCTTTATAATTATATTTGTGCCTGGTATGAATCTATTTTTGAGAACTGGTCTTGGGTTGGAACTGGAACTACTTCATCCCATATACCCCTCTCCTTGTAGTGCAGATCTGGAATACAAATTTATAAAATATAATGGAGACTTGGTGTATGGTTGATAGGTTTCAGAACCAGAAAAATAGGAAGACGAAATTATAGCAATACAATAGTGTATTTGATCGTGTTACAAAGCAAATAGTTTTACTAGACACTTATCAAATAACTAATAAGGCTAAATGGGTCTGTTTACACTGCACAATTACTGTTTATAATGCTCATTGAATTATTTAAAGTCATGAATTAAGTCTAAAAGTCGTCTTTTTGGTTATCACCGTACTTACAATAGTGTGACACAATTTCCTTGATTGGCATTATCATCGGTTTCCGCGCAGTACAATTTTGACTAGAAAAACAGAGAATTCATTTTCAATATTTTGTAGAAACTGTTAACGTACTTTAATTTGACCCTCCATTTTAAAAAGGGAATGTTCGACTCACAGTTAAAATAATAATCAAATAAAATTTTAAACGGATTAATTTCATTTGTCGGTTATTTGTGAAGGTGACTTGCGTCTTGCGTCAGAAATACTGGAAAAATAAAACAAAATTAAACAGTTTTTAAGATAGAAAAAAGGAGATATATCCGCAATGTTATCAGATTAAAGTTAAAAAACTACGGATGTGAATCAGGTATGCCATTTCCCCGTCTGAATTGAGGGTCACATAAAGAATAAATAGGACATTAAATGATTAACTTTTCTCCAGTGCTTAGGATCCATTTAATTTTGATGCGGATCCTGCACTTGAAAAAAATGAATCCGGATTTAGGTTATTTCTTTAAAATTTACTGAATTTTTTTAACAAAGCAGAATTTTCAATTTTTAAGCTAACTTGAGGAATAATTCAGAAATCATGAAATAATCATAATATCTTTATTTCAATAGTTCGGATTTGAGAGTGATTTTTTTTTGCTTTTTTTTGGTTGCTATATAGCCCCTTGGATCCGGATCCTTGGAACCTCATATTTTTGCGGATCCAAGCCCAAGAAGCCAACATCTTGCGGATCCAACGGATCCGGATCCTAAGCTCTACAGTTTTCTTAAATTGTTTAAAAGATGAATTTTTCCTTGAGGAGGCTCCGTGTATCTCCGCAACCCCAGACATGACACATTTGTGACCGGTCTTTATTACATCGGTTAGAGCTGAAGCAGGTGGTGTATCAAAGTTCCTGAAAAATAAGACTTTCAGATTAAGAAAATAAACTTTGTATACAGAAAATTCCAAAAATCATCTTTATCTACAAGGTGAGAAAAAAACATAGGATTAATGTCGTTTGCTCACCCTGTATAAAAACATAATCAATAATTGCAAGTTACTGCACATCCAAAATAACTCGAACATCTGACCTGACGTTTTTAATTTGGACGATTGAATCTGGTTCGTCTGGATCTGCATCTGAAGAACTCTCATCCTTAAATAAATCGCTATTGACAATACACTATGCTGTGATGACCAGAAAAAAAGAAAAAGTTGTCGTTTTTAAGTCTTCTAATATAATTAATTAGAAACATTAAGAAGAATAGTTATAACGTTTCTTAACTCTAACACTAAATATTTTCAAACATATTTCACGAATGAAATAATCTTCAACTACAATTCTAATTTTAAAAAATACAAAGACGACATTTATCCCACTTCTTACTGGTCATGAATTCAGTGTTAAAAGTTATATCTTGACAAATTCCTAAAGATTAATTTTAAAACTACATACTACTATTTTTACTTTTGAGACAAATTAAATTCTGAACATATCTTTTAATACATTACCCATATTATATATCAGTAATATGAAAGTAATGCAAGAGAAAGATACAGAACATTTTTACTCATTTCAGCTCAGATTATAACTTTTCTTCCATTACCATACCTGGAGACAAGATATTGCATTGTAACTATCATCTTAAAATAAAAACACTACTAAAAAGATTTCATACCTTTTCCAGAACAAATTGAAGATCCTTGGCATTAAGAATTTCATCATCAGAGCTATCACTTGAACTCTCAACCTTCTTCCTCTTAGGCGCTATAGCCCGCAGTTTAGGACCCATTGTTATCTAGTGAAAATATTGAATCGAATCTACCGCGGTGTTTATGGTAGGTAGCAGAGCAAACCGAGAATTTACGAGGTTTAAGAACAAAATAATGGTCCGCCCTAGTATGCGATTTATGAACCCCCCCCCCCCCCCC